AATTGACAGACAGTAAGACTCTTCCTACTTTTGGTAGGATTGTCTCAAAAAACATAATTTCATAAGCTTTATCTTCCATAATCGAGAGACGCCTTACTATCAAGTGTTCTTGGTAATAGAGTAAACTGAGAGTGCTCATTTTCATCTTTGAATTTGGATATGGTTCTGGTGTCAAAATAAGGGTTTGATTCTTCTGAACAGTTGATTTTTACCTCGAATAATATAGATTCCGTTGGACAATTATCTAATTTATTTGTACCATAGATTAAAGCGATTACCGGCGAAGTAGTTGTTGATAGAAATGCTTTAAATAATACTTTACTGCCGATTCGCTGTTTGAATAAATGCAGCTCGTCTGAAGTCATCTGTTGACCTCGAAAAACTGAATATTCATGTCTTTCCTCTGATTCATTTTCACTGATGGTCTGCACATATTTATATTTTCTTAAAAAGGAGGATCTGTGGCATATATATAAATAACGATCTTTTTCGTAGAATTCAAGCAACTGTTTATATAAATCAATAATGAAAAATCGAAATTTTAAGATGACTTCCATTTTCCCTGTTCGTAGTGCTTTATTCATCAATCGATAAAGAAAACACTCTTTTGTGTACCACAACAGTGCCGTGTCTGGTGTGTATGTTCTATCAAATTCATCGATCTTATTAAGTTCTACTTTATTATCATGATAATATTTTCGACATTCTTGAATAAGCTCATCCTTCTCATCTTCTGTATGGGGCAAATAAACTAATATTTCAACTAATAACTGATAAAAACGAAATGTACCATTCTCATCATTGGAAGCATCATGTATCGATGTTTTTTCATTGTCATTATTAACGAGGCATGTACTAATAGTGCTTGAAATAATTAAATAACTTAATTTAACATCTTCTCTTAATTTGATTAATAATGAGTCTGCATCGACGAATACCCCCCGTATTTTAGAATAGTTTGATGCCCATTCAACATATTTTCCTTGATTTTCACAAAAAACATAAATACAGAACACCTGTGGTATGTTATGTATAAGTCGAGCAATTGTTTCACTTAATTTACCGGACGTAATTAAGAAAACTTTTTCTGTTGTAACTGTTAATACATAGTTAGCACATTCTTCAATACCTGAGAAAGTTTTCAGATAATTGATGGTTTCACGGAATGATGTAGCTATCTTCGAACAATAACTGTCTTCCATTCTAATACTTTCATCTAACCATACAAGAGTCAATTCTTCAAGATTATCAGATGAATTAAAATGTGATAAAACTGATTCAGACGAAAAAGGTCGTACTGGATTATTTGCTGCCATTCTACTTCACCTGAAAGATGATAGAATAATAACTCCACGTTTATTTTAAAATAAGCCTCCTACTCGTTTGAGCACACAGTAAATTGTATAAAGGTAAAAATGAGAAGACTTTTAACAAACGACACTCAATTAAATCGGCATACTGTTAAAAACGTAATTAAACGTGTATTCTATCATAACTCTTTATTACTTGAAAATTTTCAACCTTCCAGTCATTTTTTTCAACTTTTCCAGTCAAAATTTTTCAACATTCCAATGTCATTTAAATGGAAAATTCGATCGTTTTATTGCTATAGCGAAAAACCATAAAACATGTGATTATAATGAAACTCCTTCCATAGAAAATAAATATGTACGCGTAAGAAGAAAAAATATACTTGATAAGCAATACTAACACAAAAACAGAATAAATATTTATCATCATCATTCCTACAGCTACACAATTCATATTATTTATCATATAAAATCCAAGCAAGAAAATCATGATTTAACCACCGTGATGTGCATCGTTCATTAGCTATGTGCTCGAGCCATAGTGCTCATTCTGATTGTCAGCCCAGTGTGTTCTCAAGTCCAGAAAAGCCAAATATTTCGATGAAACAATCTTAATGATGTTTCCCTCTCTGTGTGGAGTCCTATCTCAGTTCTTTCCTCGAAAAAGGCGAAATATTTCAATGAAACAATCTTAGTGCGAATGATTCATCGACTCTGCGATCATGCCACAGTGCCCATATTGATGTTTTCGTCGCTGTGTGGAGTTATATCTCAATTCGAGAAAGGCGAATGATATTTGAATGAAAGCATAATTTGAATCATTCATTAGCTATGTGACANTAATGATGTTTCCCTCTCTGTGTGGAGTCCTATCTCAGTTCTTTCCTCGAAAAAGGCGAAATATTTCAATGAAACAATCTTAGTGCGAATGATTCATCGACTCTGCGATCATGCCACAGTGCCCATATTGATGTTTTCGTCGCTGTGTGGAGTTATATCTCAATTCGAGAAAGGCGAATGATATTTGAATGAAAGCATAATTTGAATCATTCATTAGCTATGTGACAGTATTTATACAGTATAAAAGCTACTTCAGCAGCTGATCACAGAGATAGTGTTGAAAGTTGGCTCGCGACAAGAAGGAATAAAATTCAGCTTTTTGAAAAAAGCGTAGAATAGAAATGTGGTTTTCGACTCAATGTTTTCTGGAAAACAAATGTCCCAAATAGGGATCTGAATAAATGAAAAAATTCAATTTCTGTTCTTCCTAAAAATGAAAAAATCAGTTTTGCAAATTTCCAGAAAACGTACATCAGGTCCCTATTTGGGACAAATAAAAAACACAGTTTCAGTTTTCTGAAGTTCTTTTTTTAGAGTGTAGAAAACAATAGATTTTTGGACGAAAAAAATCAGTTTTTTTTAATATGGTTTTGTTATGACCAAAGAACGATAGCTATTGATAAAAAAGATTAATTCGCAAAAACTTCTGATATTCGCCTGTTTGTTAAAGATACGCACTGATTTCAAGCCCAACCTTCAAAAATACATATTCAAGTGCCACCACTTCAAGTGCCATCAGATACAAGTGTATCTACTTTCGAAACTCATAGTGACTGGCGCTACATCAAACATTTTTACTAACTTTTTAAAATAACTCTAAAAATCCTTGGTTTTTCATAAACTTTTACAGCTTTTCAAATCGAATCAAATTTCTTGGAAGACAAAGTATCCAATATGTGCAAAAATAATCTGTTTCGCAAATTTGTATGATTTTACACGTAACAAGGCATTATTCTAGAAACGATAATACAATTTTACAACACACAAGTTGTGAACACGCGGGTGAGCTGTGAATTTTAATGCAGCGATGTCTAACATGAGGTTGGTAAATATTCCATATCTTCTTTAATGAGACGATGCTACTGATTAATCATTTTATTATTAAAAATTAATAAAAATTGCAAAGTTAAGTGGAGAGAATAAAGAGCGGAAAAAAGAGAATTGAAAAATTTGAACGTAGAATGGCCCAATAACATACTCATATATACACAGAAAACAACGACTATAAGTAAACTACAAAAAGCGAAGAAAATAATATCGTATAAAATCGTATGATTAATGCTGATATTAATGAAAGTTAATTCTTCGATTAGTTGCTACTGATAACTAATAAAATAATGTAGTTAAATGACTCTGTCTTATTTCTGAGTCAAAATGAATGATTAAAACTAGAAGACATTCAACACACTATGTTAAACCGTTTTCCAATAGAAGCAACGATATCTTAGTTTGTTTAATCTTCAGTTAAAATAGGATTAGTCTTAACTGAACCGAAGATAAAACCGGATATGACTGAAAGTATGCTACCGTTTTCACACATCGAGATTCTCTCTAAATTGCGTGAATATAACTCAACGAGTATACCACATGGAATTAAAAACCTCAAATCATTCATCAAATCGTCAGTAATAAGGAAACTTCTACCATTTGATATTTAAAAAATTATAGATTATTCCTTCTTTCTGCACTTACACTAATATAAAGAAAAGTCTCTTTTTATCCATTTCTTTTTGTCTATGTACGAACGAAATTTGTTAGAAAAATGTTGGTAGAATTAGAAAGATCTGCATACTGACATAAGTTTTAAGACTTCTAGTTTGGAAAAAAAGTAGATTCAATGCAAACGTAAGAATCAATAATATCTACATCATATGATGAATGTTAGGCTAAGCGTAACTTTGTAAGTAGTATGTATACGAAAGCTACTTCTTATTACTTTTATTCTGTGTATTATTGTTTTACTTGAATGTAGAAAAGAGTTATGAAGAAGTGACAACTAGTATTATGTTGTGAAAACATACACCTGATAGAGGTAAGAGTATTAAAAAAAATTATTATGCACATATCTACGAATAGAAATCTTAATTTGATAACGGATATTAAAATTTTATCGATATAAAGGAAACAACAATAAAATATATACACAGCAGTGAAAAAAAATTAAGAAAAAGCACTACAAAAAGAGTATATGTAGGAGAAAGGTATGAGATTATATTTGAAAATACATATGCACTTAATTTGGAAGTAATCTGTTATTAGCACATAATGAGCTATTGGTAAAGAGATACCAGCTCTCATTGGTATAGAAATGTACAAAAAAACAACACATGTAACGATTTATTTACATTCTATCAGCTCGATAAACAATCTCTAAAATATAGAAAGATTCCGACATACATATGCACGTAGTCAAAACAGAAAATCATACATTATTACGGCATATACAAGTAAAATAAAAAGAATAAAAAGAGAATAAAAAAAGCTAAGAACAACTATAATGTGGCAAGTATCAATTTATATTATTTCTGTAGCAAAAAGTAAAATGATTGAAACAAAGAAAGAGATAAATCGGCTATAAAAGGAATAGAAATGAGTATACACCATTATTCATTTGTCATAACAACCTTCTCCACTTGCATATTGGGATCAAGATCAGTTGCCAAGCGTATTGCTGTTAGCAATGCCTAACAAAAAATAAATAAATGAAGTAACAAAATTTGTAACAGATGGACAAAGCTTACTTCATCATGATCCACGGGGTGACCATCTTTTTGAGTTTTAGATTTTTGTGGAGGAATGGGTGGTGGTGTTCGTGCATCTTGACCCTAAATAAATTCATTAA